TCTTATACATGGGAAATACGGTATGTTGAATAAGGATTTTTATATGGTCTCTAAAGACTTGAAATATGGATCTAAAGAATAAATATAAGCCTTTTTTTTGTATTAAAAGAATTACTGGTGTAAGGGAAGGATGTGAAGAGCCTCAGTCTAATAAAATAAAGACCTGGGGATTTAAGTACCATCACCTCCACCACCCGCTCCCTGGTGTGACCTGCCACTCTTTCTCCCCTGGATAATTTCACAAGTCTACTACTGGTCTTCTGTTTCTTGTCTCTCTTCAGTCTAGACTTGATACAGCAGCCAGAGTGATCCTGTTAAAACATTTGTTAAGTGTTTTAATGAACTCGCAGTTCATCTCACCCATACTATAGGGTTGTCGGAAAAGTCATGGTGCATTTTTGCAACAAAAAACATAGAAAAAGTATGTCGTGACTTTCCTGACAGCCCAATAAACACCACAGTCCTTAGCAATGGTCTGCAAGGTCCTGTTGGACCTACTGGCGTCCTCTGTGATCTTCTGACCTTTACTCTTACTCGTCTCCCCCTCACCCCTGTGCTGCCGCCGCCCTGGCCTCCTTGCTGTCCCTTCCCCATGCCAGACCTTTTCACTTACTGCTGCTTTCACCATGGGTGCTCTTTCATGACCTTCAGGTCTTGAACTGTTCAGTGACTTTCTCAGACTCTCCCCATCACATTTAAAAGTACAGTGCTGTATCCCTCTCCTCTTAATTTATTATCTTTTGCTCCATAGCACTGATTACCATATTAGATAGGTCATTTATTTTGCTTCTCTGGCTTCCTTACTAGACTGTAAGCTCCACGGAGACAGGGAATTTTGTCTTTCGCCTATATCCCCAGCACCTAGAACAGTGGCTCGCACAGAGTAGGTGGGCACTGAGTATATATTCGTTGGATATGTGTTTAAAGCATAAATGAATGAATATGAGATAATGTAATAGTAGGGTTCAGCTGATACAAAAGCTAATGTAATCTTGGGACTTATGTAGTGTCCCCATATACATAGAGAGAGGCTTATGTCAGGAATTAGCTCACATGATTATGGAGATGAGCAGGTCCAAAGTCTGCAGTGCTGATGTTCCAATTTGAGTTAGAAAGCCATTAGGCTGTTGTAGGATCCAGAAGAGCTGATATTCCAATTTGAAGGCTGTCAAGCCGGAGAATTCTCTCTTATTTGGGAGAAGGTCAGCCTTTTGTTCTGTTCAGGCCTTTAAGTGATTGGATGAGACCCAAACACATTAGGAAGGGCATTCTGTTTTACCTTGTTTACCAATTTTTAAATGTTAATCTCACCCAAAAACACCCCCACAGAAATACTCAGAATAGTGTTTGACCAAATATCTGGGCACCTCTTGGCCCAGTCAAGTTGACACATAAAATTTACCATCACAGTATATTTGTCGACCACACCCCAAACCCTGAGTCTTTTCCCAGGCACCACATTTCAGACCCTGCTGGTGGAGATCTTGATAACCGTGGCGTCCGGGGAGGAGTTGAGGGGGCTGGAGACAGTGCCCTAAAGAAGTGAAGTCGCGAGTAGGGTCGAGTGACGTCTTCAAACATTTGAAGGCTTGTCTCATGGAGGAAAGAGGAAGGAATTCTTTGGTCTGAAAGGCACAGTTCAGATAAGTGGAGTGGATGGAAGGCAAATCTTACAGATAGAAAGGAAGAACTGAAATCTAATAGATAGAAAGTAAGAGCTGAAATCTGCCTTAGAAGCTATTGAGGTCTTCTTTCTGGAAGGGTTCAACTGGAGGCCACCTGGGACCAGGAGTCAGAAGTCTCCTGATCTTGCCCTAGTGCTAACTCTCTGACCTTGGGTGGGCCATGAGCTCCTCTGAGGTTTCCTCCTCTCTACCAGGGAAATCACAGTAGCTACCTCACAGGTCTTCCTGAGGATCGGGTAGGAATAACAATACCTTCTAAACCAGGTGGGGCTTAGGGCAGGCCTTTGTCCAGCTTTGTCAGAGCCAGGAGAACTGGTGGTCAGCCAGAATGCTGACTAACTCCTTGCCACAGCAGAAAATTTCCACTGACCTACAGTCAGGGACACTTCACTGCCCCTGGCAGCTTTGCTTTCTTCTTATTGGAATGTGCCTGAGGAGTGGCAGTTAGCTCCTTTTCCAAATTCCTCAGCCCTGAGTGTATGATCCTTATTACTGCTGGCCTGGGAGATGACAGACTTGAGCATGGTTGATGGCACATGGAGAGATCCGCCAGGCGTTGCCCCTTCTCGAAGAATCGGCTATACCATGGTGTCACTTTTTAATTGCTTCAGGATACATCCTGAAGTTGCTCCCTATTTCTTCTCTTATTTACACTGTTCACATTCTTGCCTCTGGAATGTTCCAGGGTGATACATCCCACCTTCCACTCTGAAAAAAAATGTTCTCTATGTGTATCATATTTAAAAGCCCAGCGTTTTATTTTATGGCTATAGTGTGGATGCGAACAAAAGGAACAGAACGTTCAGGGATGCTTGCCTAAGCATCCAGCGCTGCCCTGGCAGTGGGACAGAGGCCTCTGCACTGTTGTGGTTTTCTTCAGTTGACAGGCTTAATAAAAATGACTTTTTAGCACAAGTGCTTTTCAGTGCAAAGAAGATTTTACTACAGTGCGTAAGTCAGAAAATCAGGTAAACATTGTTTGAAGTTCAGTTGGTGAGTAGCTAAGCCTCCGAGGATTTATACATAGGTTGGCACGGCTATTGTAAATAGCTGAGGGCGGGGGGTGTTTCTTATGCAGGCGATGTCTAAACGAGGTCGAAGCTAAATGGTCCCCACTGGTTTTGCTTATAACCGGCATTGGGAGATTTAGCAAATGTCATTACCACACTTGATAGCACTTTGTGGTGCTTCATACATAGTAGGTGTTCAGTAAATGGTAACTGCTATTAGTGCTCATAGTTTACAGCCAGCTTATTAATGATTAGCTCTAGGCTTCCCCAGACAATACAAACCAGAAACGCTCTCTTACTCTTTATTACGTACTAAACAGCCTGATTTCTGGCATAAAAAGGGCTGTCAATTTGGGGATCCAGTAGGTGGTTGAGTGGTAGAGTGGTTGAGTAACATTCACTCAGTCCAGAGTGCAGACCAGGATTTGTCCGTCACAGCACTGTTGACATGTTGGATAATTCCTTGTTGTGGGAGCTGCCCTGTGCATTATAGGATGTTTGGCAGCATCCCTGACCTTTACTCACTAGATGCCAGTAGCTCCTTTCTCCCAGTTGTAACAATCAAAAACATTTCCAGACATTGCCGAAAGTCTCCTGGGGGTCAAAGTCACCTGTGTTTTAAGGACCACTGGTGTAGAGGAAGCTGCAAGGTGCCCACACCGGGCCTGACCTATAACAGTGTTTTTCAAACTGTGGATCACTCAGTACCCATTAAGGCAGGGCTTCTCAACCATGAATGAACAGTGGAATCACCCAGGGAGCTTTAAAATATACTGATGCCTGGGTCCCACTCCAAAGATTCTCATCGATCTGGGATGTGGCCTGGGCTTCGGGATATTTAGAAGCTCTTAGGTGCTCTGAGCTTTCATCCAAAAGGGAGACCACAGCATTACTAGGTCATGGAATCAATTTGGTGAAGTACTTCTTTGCCAGCATTTAAAAAATATATGTATATATAATTGAATAGAATATTAATGCCTAGCACAATAGTTAAGGTAAGTACTATTTTTTATCCTTGTGAAGGTTGAAAATGCTGCTGTAAGCAATAGAATCATAAGCAAAATCCTTGCCCTCAGCCTGTTTTTAGTCTGGCTATTTATAACCTCTTTAGAACCTGCTTGCTTTCTGTTAATGCTAAATAGCTAATATGAAATTTAATATGAGACATTTATAGTTTTATGACTTGGGAATTTGTGTGTTTTTTTGCTGACATTTCATGCTGACACTGATAAAATCAGTTATTTTATAAATGGTAGCCAATAAAGATGACGTGCATATTTTCACCGGCAACTAAATTTGATTCTAGTACAGCAACAAGATCATTTTCCTCTTTTGTATGAGTTAATTATGTACAGTAATTCTTCAGTTTGCGAGCATAATTCATTCCGGAAACAAACTACTTAGATTGCAAGACATCGCTTGTTTACCAAGTTAAAATGTATTACAGGCTGGTGCAAAAGTAATAGCGGTTTTTGCCATTACTTTTGCACCAACCTAATAGAAATGTTTGCTTGTCTTGCGGAACACTCACAAACCAAGTTACTTGCAGTCCAGGGTTTAACTGTATACCATGATTTGCTAGGTCAGCAGTGGTGTAAATATATTCAGCAAGGAGGCGGGTCTTGCATAAATCATCCCGAAAGTTTTACTAGGATAAGTCCAGCAGCCTCTTGACTTCATTATCTATGGGAATTTGGGGAGGGGGGGGACCTTACAAAATAAATTAATACACATTCATCTCACTGCTAGGAAGTAATGAAATGTGGTAGGAGACTGGCAGCCTCTGGCCATCCTGTTATCTCAGTGCTCAGAACATAAACCAGAGGGACTCGGGCTGTGTCCCTGTGGTGGTGGAAGATTGGAAGTCAAGTTCACTTGCTAGCAGGCCTTGGCGATCGCTTGCCCTGACCCTGAAGCCCATTACGACCCCATGACAACACTCACCAAGACTTTCCACTGGACTCGAAACACATTACTTGAAAGGTTGGCCTACAATTTAGATATCTGGAAAATAGCAATGATAACTCATATGATTACTCAACAATGCACTCTGTAGTCTGTCATCCCAAAGTTCTTTAAAAACTCAAAGGGACATTCTGGTCGTTGGTAGCTTCGTCATTAGCGGGTAGAAGTAGCCTTGAGATTATTTCTTGAATCAGCTGCTGAAAACAGGTCATATGCCTGTATAACAAAGGGAAGAGGTTAGATTAACAAATCCTCATGAGTTGTCTGATAAGCGTTCTCTCATTATGATTCAGCTCCAGGTGCCTGCACCACATTAAATATGCAATTCTCTTTCCTGTAGGTGTCTGAGGGTTCTATGGTCCAGTTTTCATCAGGAAACTTCTCCTTGTCAGCAAAAACAGAAGAAAGGAGCTTCCCCCATGGAAATGAACATCTGTTAAATTGGGCCCGAAAGGAGTATGGAGCAGTCACTTCATTCACCGAACTCAAGATAGCACGGAACATTTATATTAAAGTGGGGGAAGGTAAATTTTATGTGGTTTCAAATAATGACTGATTTGCAACAGTCCATTGTTTTCTTTCCTGAGACCAGGTGGTTAGGGCAAGGAATCCTATAATTACAGAATGTTGGGGCTGGCAGGGACCTGCGGGATCACTGGGGCCTGTTCCCCCCACGTCCCCTCCTTCCCCTTTTCCATCTGAGGAAACAGGCCTGGCAGTGGCCAAGTGAGAAATGGGGGAGTCACTTCACTGAGAGAGAGGAGGAGGAGGAGGAGGTTGTGGTGTAGGATTCAGAAGACATCCATATATAGAAGCCAGAAGAAGTGAGTGGAGGGCGAGAAGCCAAGGGTGTGGGAAAGGAGGCGATAACTGATGGCAAAGAGGAGGACTTGGCAGGTTGGTTCAACACCAGGGCTTCCTCTTACCTTTTATTTGCAAACACTTGAAGCCAGTGTCAGTTTATGATTTTAAAGACATCGGTTAAATTTTGGACGGTAGCAGAAGAAAAGCGCTTGAATGTATTTTTAATACTCAGACCTGCTACAAGGACAAATTATTGGAGAAAGGAATTCTATGGCCTTGATAAGAGAGTGCCCATTTGAATTTCCTTACCTTGCAGAGGGATATAAATATCCGGTGACTCAATTTTGAAAGGGTATTATTTTTTTTAAAGAATTTTTCTCATCATTATTTTTAGTTGAGTATATTTGGGACCCCTATAAATGACTAGAAATAGCAACTTTTGTGAGTGGGTCCTTGTTATAGTCCGGTGATTGTGTGAAAACTGCATTTCAGGTCTTCAGCATCCATCTGCTTTCTGTTGAATTCTACAGCAGTTGTCACCTCCTCCACAGACAGTGTGGCAGCGCAGGGTGGGTTCCTGAATGCTTGTTCCTAGCCCTCTTTTGGCTCTGGGTTGTTGGACAGATGCAGGAAAGGTGGACACTGATATTAGAGTGCATGCTGACTCTTGAGTCTAATGCCTGTTGCCTGATCCTCTATTTTAAGTCATAGCCAAATAAGCACAGTCTAGAAATAAAAGTGGGCTACCTGGATGGAAAGACTTGGTTAGCAGAGTAAAGAAAGAAGGAATTTTAGATGAGAGTTGGGTTCAAAAAGTTGACCTTTGTTACTAAATTTTCATGGTAGAGGTCAAGTCCCATTGGAACAACATAGAAAATCTCTTGTAAGAGAAAGCTCTGGCCAATGGTCTGCATTTCTGAAGCAGAATTCTAGTAGCATGAAAGAATGTTGATTGCCCCCCCTGGAATTTCTTAGAACAAGAAAATGTGTTATAGTAATATTTAGAATATTGGGCTCTGTTCTCTTGACAGTGAAAGTGCTTCTATGGACAGCCATCACCTGCCCTGAGAGTGAGGGATTAAGTGATTTTTCCCCAAGGCCACACACTAGGTTGGGGAAGAATTTAAAGGACCTGGTGTCCAGTCCAGTAAAAACTGGTAAACTCCTTGGTAACACCTTTGGAGCCCCTGAAACTTGATGCCAGCCACCAGTTGGGTATGTCACTGGCCCGTACCATGGAGAGGGGCAGCTGGGGGAAGTGAGAGTCCTTAGTTAGGTCGATAGAATACAAGGTGATACTGTTTTATCACCGTGGATCAGACTCCTCTGAGCAAGCCTCATCAACTAGCTTCCCAACCTGAGCTTTCTCTACCCTACAACCCAGGGACCCCAGGCCATGAGCCTGTGTTCTTGCTCTTTCCCCAATAGTTTTCAAAGTGTGGTCCCTACCCCAGCAGCATCCTCATCACCTGGGAACTTGTTAGAAATCCCTATTTTCAAGCCCACCCCAGACTAACTGAATTGGAAACTCTGGGGGTGGCGTCCAGTCATCTGTGTTTTAACGAGCATGCCAGGTGATTCTGACGCTCACAAATCTTTGAGAACTACTGCTCTAAACTGTATACCTGGAGTGAAAAAATTGAAGAGTTTTCAGTTCTTACCCCAGCTGGTCTCATTAACTGTGAAGCTTCAAGTCTTAGTTTCTACAGCAGGACAATTAGGAGTTTGCGTCACCTCCCAGGCTCTCAGAATATATCATTCAAGGCCTCAAAGTCATTTGTCAATCTTTTCCTAAAATACAAATAAGCATGTGACCCCCACCACCCCAAACATGCCAGGTTTCTACCCGGGGATTCCCCTTTGTGGTTTCCTTTCTACTTGGCAGTTGATGTAAGTTTTGATGCCAGGCATACAGAAGGTCATTTGGGGGAAACACACACACACACACACACCCACACCCCACCCCCAGCCACCAAAATGTGATCAGCTTATTCAACTTCGTGACAATGGCACCTGGGAGTTGAGCCCTTAATAACAGCAACTTGAAAACAATTAAACCTTCACTAGTGGCTTAGGAGGGTCATGATGTGGGTGAGTATTTTGTTATTTGTTTCAAATCTCACATCAGCATTTGTTCATTCAGGAAACCTATACCATGGACCTACTATTATATGCCAGATGCAGACCAGGCACCCTGTGAACTGGATCTACAGGCCAGAGTCCCAGGAGTTTCCTAGTCTCTTGAGTTCCAGACTGGCCTGACTATGGCCCATCCACACAACCCCTGATTCTTGATGAAATTTCAGCCTTGCCACCCCAGTATCATTTTCCGTCCTGTGATCTGGGGGAGGCATCCGCAGGGCTGCAGCTGCAGGGCGTGCATTCCTCATCTGCTCATCTGGCAAAACCCTCAGCAGATGTGGAGAGGAGGCTGCTCTGGCAGCCTGAGTTGGCGGAGCCCTGACCTCTTCTCTCTGAGGGGGTCGTTAGGGAAGAATGCAGCATTCAGAGCTTACCGCCCTCTTGAAATGAGCCTGCAAGTGGGGCCGCGGGAGCTCCTCTGGTCCCCTCTGTTCTAGGGATGGCTCTGGGGATGCCATGGTGCATGGAGCCCTGTCGCCACAGCTTGTGCTGTCATTTCAGCACAAGGGAGGTTGCACAAGTTTGGTGGGGGTGGGAAGAGGGCAGGATCAACCCAACCTTGGGACCTCCTAGACTGATGCTTCTCTGAGACCTGCCTGTGAATTTGAATCCTGGCATCCTGTCCATTAAATGAAAAGGGCAGAAGTCTGTTTCATTAAAGTGCCAGGACTCTGATTAATTACTCCTTCTGAAAAGAGCTTGCTACACCTAGAACTTCCTTAACACTGGTCCCAGCTGTCACACTGCCAGCAGTTTCAAGTTCTGTTTAAACATTTAAACCACTGAATGGAAATCCCATCAACCACAGTGCTGTGTAAACGGCATGTGCCGTTGGGGGAGTATCTTCAGACATTTGGTACTTGCATCGCTTTTCCTGGTAGAGGTGATGACCAGCCCTCAGCACAATGAGACAATATTTGTGAAAGCACCTTGTAAACAGTAAAGTGCTATGGAAGCATTAGTTGTCTGTGTCGAGATTGTGAGAAAGAGTACAAGTCTGCCCTCACTGTGTCCCCCAAACTCCTACCTTCGGTCTTGAGAGTATAAAGTGCTATGAAGAATCAATACGGGGGAGTGATTAATTATACATGGTGGGCCAGAGGATTACTATGGGACCTGGTTCTCCTATTAATGAAGTAGCAACCATCCGAGGAGGAGCATATCTGGGGACAGGGTCAATAATTGGATTCAGTGTTGAGTATGCTAACTGAAGTATTTCGTGGAGTTTTAGGTGGGAGGTGCTTGTTAGGCAGATGACATTACAGGTCCGTGACTCAGGAAAGGAGTGATGATCTAGGTGCAAGTTGAGGATATGGGAGTGATTGCGATCATCTAGGAAGAATATGAGGCAACAAGAGGATTGAGGAAGGAAATGAGACTCTTAGTCTTGGTTTTATATTGGGATCAACTATGGAGGTTTTCAAAAAGAGAGCCTCCTAAGCTCCACCTAGGTCTGAATTTGAGTCTCTGGGATGGGAACCAAGCAGGTGGAGTCTTACATGCCCCCAAGATTGAGGACCGCTGGTGTTTAAAGGATGGGCAGAGGAGGAGGAGCCAGTGAAAGAGACTGGAAATGGTCAGAGGAAATGGATGAGCACCAAGAAGTATTACAGAGAACAGGAAAGGAGAGGACTTAGACCAAATGAGGCCACTAGAGGTGATCACTAGGAGGACATTAGTGGCCAGAGGGTGGCATTCAGGGCAATGGTTGAGGAGATCTAAGGCCCCTCCTTAGCACTTGTGGTTCCCTGTATCCTGCCCTTGGTCAGTGTCACCATCACCTTCTTTCCCTTTGAGTCTGGTCACCACCATGTAGCTCAGTGGTTTGACAGATTGTCCTGTGCTTCTTTACTTTTCAGATCAAGTGTTCCCTCCCACGTGCAACATAGGGAAGAATTTTCTCTCTCTCAATTACCTTGCTGAGTACCTTCAGCCCAAAGCAGCAGAAGGGTGTGTAATATCCAACCAGCCCCAGGATAAGGAAGTACACATCATTGAGTTAATCTCCCCCAACTCTAACCCCTACAGGTGAGTGTGAGTGAGTGTGTGTGTGTGTGTGTGTGTGTGTGTGTGTGTGTGCTGAACTGAGAAGAGATGAAAATAAAGATGTTTCCTGACTTGAGGTAGGGAAAGGTGTGGCCCTGCCTGTGCAGGAGGGAGGGAGCCATTGATGCTTTGGGTGAGATTCACAGAAGCTCTGAAGAAGGGAGTAAAGGCACCAGGGGTACACTGTATTTTCTGCATCTGTCTGTAGGTCCCCAATATTCCGATGCGTTCCTGAAGCCTATTCGGAACTTCTTGGTACTAATTTGGACACAGTCAGTCTTGCTCCATCATTATCTCCTTTGACTGAAGTTGTCCCCTGATAAGAAAATTACAAAATGTGCCTCATTAAAATTATTATTTTAATAACATTCTGATTTTATAAAGTTCTGTTGATGGTGTCATCAGAGCACTCTTTCACTTGTAAGCACTTACTTTAAAGCTGTGCCTGTAAACGATGGGGTGTCGCCCTTCAAAGTGACACACCGAATAGCCTTGGATCTAACCTATATGTCCTTTGTGTTCTCATTCACCTTTCCACCCTCAACTTCCTGCCCCAGGACTGGAAATTTAACCCTCCCTGTCAAGAATGAATAGAAAATTTTTTAAAAAGAAATAAAAAGGGGAAAATGTGGCCCTTCTTCCACTTGAGACTGCGTTTCATGTGGGCTAATGACTTAAAATATAAATTTATATTGCAGAAGGATTTCAAAGTTAAAATTCTAACCAAATTTTGATTTCAAAAATGAATAAACTAAGATCAGTTTTGGTAAGATTCCATTCTGTCCCATATGAAGAATTTTGAGGAAAATTAAAAGAGAATGAGAATTAGAAGCAATTTGGCCAATATGCTTTAGATATTAAGCCTAAGGCTTCATTTAAGTATATCATTCCTTTTATACTTTTCAAGAATGTAAAGCCAAGATGGAAAGAAAGATTTTCCTTTAAATTCAGGATGACAGAGATGCTATTGTTTGGTAAAAATTCTCTTTTATACTGAATTCTTAGAAGTTTGGGTTGTGTTCATCAATTTTCCAGTAATCACTTGGTTGACCATCTGTTTTCTTTGTTTTAGTAACTGTATATCTAGAAGTTTGGGAAAGCGAATGAAGATACGATTCTGTAGCAAATGTTAATGGCTTAAGCAAACCAACCTTATATAACTTCTCCAGCCTTTTGCATCTTATTCTGAAGTTCCCTTATTTTTTTTTTTTTTTTACTGCCATGCCTCCCTCACACACACACTCACCAAACTGCTGCCCACTTCTGGTTTTGAAGGGTTTTGGACATATAGCATATTAGAAAGTTACACATTGAAGCAAGCATTGAAGGCATTGAAGGTTGAAAAAGCAACAGCTCTGTTTCAGAAGTAAACTTTTCTGGCTTGTTCAAGTCCATTTCAAACAGTGGCTGCATTAAGTAACCACCTTTTTTTTTTTTTCAAAGAGGAGAAAAATTTTAGCGGCTAATTATCAGCAGTCATATTTTTCTATTGTTATGTAAGACCATTTTGTTATGTGTGCACTAACAATCTGTTTTGCACATGTCACTTGCCTGGGATCGACTCCAGCTTTTTAATCAACTGGCCAGACACTGGAAACATGAAGACTTGGAAGAGGGGAGATAGTTGCAACTTTCTGGCATTTGGGTCCTAACTCGGCCTTTGTTTTCCGTTCACAGTGCTTTCCAGGTGGACATAATAATTGACATAAGACCTTCTCGAAAGGACCCTGAGGTGGTAAAAAATCTCACCTTGATCTTGAAGTGCAAAAAGTCTGTCAACTGGGTGATCAAGTCTTTCGATGTTAAGGGAAACCTGAAAGTTATTGTAAGTTGGTTGAGCATGTCATTGTTTTGATGACTGGCGATAACTTAAGCCATGTTTGTATGTGTTATTATTGTAAAGTTTCTGCTTCTTTGGACTCTGAGCTCTCGCAATAATTTTTCACTTTGCAGAATAGCCTGGTCCTTGGCTTCTCCTGACAAGGGTGAACAGTGTGGTTGTTAATATTATGGTCTCTGGGGTCAAGACAGACCCGGATTTGAGTCCAGACTCTGCCATTTATAACACAAACTGTGACCTTGGGCAAGTCCCTTAATGCCTCTGGAACTTAGTTCCCTCATTTGTGAAATTCCTGAAATGCATCACTCTACTTTCCAATCATAGTCAGTGTAAAATAACCAACACAAGCCTTTTATGATTGAGTCCTGTAAGGTTCACACTCGTGACTTTTGAGATAAATATGTTACACTGGTATTCCTTTTCACTTGCTTCTAACTTCTAAGGGTGAAACACGGATAAAAGATTCACAGTAATGGAGAGGTGAGTGAGATGACGCTAGAGAAATCTCCCCCAGCCTGTTCCTTAAGCATTATGTTTCATGAAGGAAATATACTGAAGAGGCTTAGCTGGTTGGCATGGCAGGCAAACAGCAGCTAATTTCCTGAAGAGCTAAATGTTGAAATTTGGTCAAATAAATCTTTTTCAAATATGTTTAGGGAGATAACTATTTGACAGCATATTGGAGTGAATTATATTACAAGTTAAAGAAAAATCCCCTTCCTCATTTTAAAGAAGATAATTATCTCTTTAGCATCTCTTTTGTAGGTTCAAATTTTTGTGCATTGTTTTTTTTTAAACAAAAATTGTCACCACTTCCTCTTGTAGTACCTGCATTTAATCCATTGGAATGGTTTTTATGTTTCTGATGTTTTGGGAGTGGGATGCCTTTGGTTTGGGTATTATTCATTCATTGCACCTTCGCGGGATGCAGCAGTGAACAGAGCCAACGGTCCCCTAGGCAACAGCATGTGCAAGCACTCACCAGAGGCAGCAGGCAAAACCACGAGCACACACATCTTAATTTAAAGTAATCGTTTCTGGTTCCTGTGGCGTGTGTGTGTGTGTGTGTGTGTTTTAACTTGAGAGGATCCCAGTAAGCCATCCTGTGTAATGGTGATACATTAATTTGGTGTCAAGCACACAGCCCACCCGTGATTTTCTGAAGTCAGAGCTGTTTTGATTGCTGTCGCTGGCATGGCATGAGGGCGGTTGGTGATCCGAGGTGTCTGCAGCCTTTGTTGCCTGGCACACCAGCCAAATGTTTTTAATTTTAGAATAACAAAAACAGGAAGGGGAATCATGCTTTGAAAGACAAAAACATACGGTCCATTTTAATTCTCTGCTGGAGTTCTTGTATAAATGTTCTTTCAGCCCTGACCCTTCAATGGCTCTTTCTCTCCCTGAGTATGTGTGCCTGGTCCCTGGCAGTCCTGGAGTTCGCTTTGAATGTCCCCACTTCTCACATGAATCAGAAAGGCTAGAAATGAGATTGCTCATCCCAGTGCAAGATCTGTTTATATTTCTCTCCTTGGCTGTACTCCTGTTCCCGGCCAATTTTGGACAATGCATGACAACATTACTAAACAATTAGGTAATGTTTCATGATGTTCTTTTTTACTCCCCCAGTTTCATGCTTTGTGATTTCCTAACTCCCTGTCTCAGATGTGAATTCTGACTGTACTGTGAAGGAAAGTTAACCTGCTAATAAAAAGGCATACCTTTGTGCTTAGAAAGAGGGAAATGGTTTATAGTGACCTTGTTTCTAGTATTTTCTTTGACAACAATAACGGTGAAGTGGAAGGAGTCCTGGCTTTGGTGCCAGACAGGGCTGGATTCAAATCTCATCTCCAGTTGTCATTACTCCCAGTTGATACTGGGCAATCCAGTTGAACTCTGAGCCTGTTTCCTTGCCTGTGCAATGGGTACAATGATAGTACTCACCTTGAGAGTTACTGTGAGGTTTAACGGAGTTCATTTGTTCATTCGTTTATTCATTTAACAAGTATTTGTTAAGTGCCTCCTGGGTGTTTCACCTAAAGCACTCAGCACACTGCCTGCTAGGATGAGTTCTCAGCTGTAGGTGCTACTTAGTTTCTGTGAGCCTCAGGTTCCCCCTCTCTAACAAAGGAATAGCAGTGCCTAGAACAGAGGGTGCCAAAAATATGTATACACATTTTAAGAAAGAAACAAACTGTATTAAAATTGTAATACTCAATATATACCGGTAACAGAAGATGAATACAAGTTACGTTTGACTTCTGCAACTACAAGAGATGCTCAAAGTGGTTCCCATCAGCATCCAGACACTTCTGATTACAGTGAACATTGTTTGGTAGACTTCTGTGGTGAGCTTGTAAACTGTTTTAACACCATAGCAGGAGAAGCAGGACTTGTTGCTGTGCGAGGCCTCCCAGATCTTCCCTTGTGCACATCACACACAGTACCAGGTGTCTCAAACTTATCACGAATGCATGCAGTCGTTAGGCATGTTGGAGGTCCTGCTGCATACTTTTACCTCCATTGTCGTTGCACTTCCACAACGTTCTTGAATTTCAAATACCACTTCACAATGGTCTTGCGCTCCTCAAACGACAACCATGCTTCCGCCATTTTCTTTGATTGTCCTGCCTGTCACATGGTGATGCTAGCATTCATTTGATTAATGCCATCTTTTGAGCAAACGTCATACTACACATTGCTACCGTAATTCAATTCAACTTTGAAAAGTAATACATAGATAACATCTCTTAAAATGTATATATACGTTTTTGGCACCCCAGTATTTTGGAGGAGCATTAAATAAGATAACATATGTAAAGCTCCTAGCACAGTATGCACGCACCATAAAAAGGGAGTTCATCTTCCTTCCTTAAGCAAATCTTTAAAAGTTTGTCTATAGGAGCAATTGATTTCTCTAAACAAAGTGAAAACAAAGCAAAATGTCTACTAAAGGAATTGTAGGGTAAATTTAAAGAAGAGCCAGCCCTATTATACATGGGTGGGATGTTGGCAGTATGCACCCTCCAAATGACAGGATGGTCCAAGGAGATGCAAAGAGCTGTACTGTGGGCAAGAATGGGAATACCAGAAATATCTGCATTGCCCTGCCCAGCTCTGGCTTTTTCTTCAGTTCTCTTATGAACCATGCATAATCACGTTTTGGAAGAACCTCCAAAACATGAAAGAATAGATGGAGGATATGTGTGTTAGAAATTTCCTGTTATACTATTTAATGTAGCATTAGGACTTCAAGGTTGGTGATAGCTAGCTTATTCTTAGAAAAGACATTTTAAAAAAAATCCCAGTGGGAATATACGCTATACTTCCTGACCCATTCTTCCCCCAGTCCCCCCTCTTCTACACCAACAGTTTTGATGCAAGTGTGTGTATTGGGTGGTGGGGGAGGAGGAAGATTTTACCTAGCTTATCATCCTTTATGAAGACATAGGTGGGAAAGTGGGTGGCGGCATTTGGAGACCCCCTTGAACACTCCCACTTGGAGTAGCTACACTGAGGCTTTGGAAAAAGCCTGGGGACACCCAGAAATACAGGGTGAGGCATTCACTCATTGCTGGGAACCTACTTGCTTGCCATTGTCCGGAGCCTTGCTGCATCACAAATGTGTGGATAGATTTTCTAGCCTTGTAAGTCCCGAGGCGTAATCAGTATGAATTGTACTGACAGCTCCTAGATTTCATGTGGAAAGGTGTAAACAAATCACTCCATATTGGTACCAGAAGGACAGGTGGCTGTTATCATAATAGTATTCTGGAAATATAGTATTTTCTCAGCTGTCCAACAATATGAAAGACTAGGGCAGATGAGGCCAAGCAGTAGTATGTAAGCCAGTGTTACAACTCTAGCCAATCAAAATGACATGCTACTTTGAGAGGCTGGAAGACGCTGTGCCTAAGAAACTGTCTTTGACTAAATGAATAAAAAGTTCTAAGAACAAATTGGAATTTTCTTTATCTCATTTTAGTTTTCTTTCTTTCTTTTTTTAACCCTTTCTTCCCCTAAGGAGTTTTCTCTGAATCACAGTAAGAGCTAGAATATTCCAAATCTGTGAAGCAGAGTTTTTTGCAAATGGCTATAGAATTTGGTTGGAGCTGTCTGGTTCCTTTGCATATATGATTGTGACTGGGCAGGCTGGCAGTTTTCCCTCAGATAAGCACTTTGGGTAATAGAAAAATATACTGAGTGAGCCCCTTTAAGCTTTGAATTGAAAATATGTATCCTCAGCTATTATCCCACAACCAAAGAGGCCAAGAGAACTTAGAGCCTGTGAGTATTCGGTGGTTTTACAGTGGGAAAGGATTAATATTTAGTCATGTGAGGGGCAAACAGAATGGGAAACAAATGGGGAATTTAGGAAAATGCTGCATGTATGCAGGAGAAAATAATTGGGCATGGAAATTAAAGTGAGATTTATACAGCATGAAAATGCCATAATCTGCATGTTGGAAGGACTTTTCAGCTCTGTTGGAGCAGTTGTTGAAAATGTGGTGCCTTCCCTTTGGGGTTCCCTGTGCGTTCCCTGTGCGTCATGTAGCTCCCTTACCATCTGACAAGATCACTGCTGGATAGGAGTCAGCAGGTGATGTGAAAATGTACCTTTTATGTCCTGGTTACTCAGAGTCCTTTTATTTCCTTTTCTGGAAAAGTTTCTATCATTCAGCTTTAATTTTGTAACTGATTACCAGGTGAAAGCCAATTTTAAGACTGACTTGCTAGATAAAATATTGATATTTAGAGGCATAGTAACCTAAATTGATTAATCTTTAGAACATAGAATCTAAGCACATTCAGTTAATAGGATTGGCATACAAATACAATTACAGGATTGCTAAATAGATCATAAATTGTAAATGAAATATAAACATTGGTTGCACCATATGGAACTTAATAGTTTACAAAAATGGGATAGTCTTCTATTAATAATTAACTACTGAAATAACTAGGCTGAGCCTTCTTTCATTTAAATCTTGGATAAGGAAATAGGAATAGGCATTTTTGGGGGGCGGGGGGGAATATAACATTCACATCTGTATACTTTATACATAATTTTAAGTAAAAATAAGAGAAAGTTTGCTCTACATACATATTTGGTATGTGTGTGTTAATAATTTAAACATTAAACTAACTGCAGTATCATGCTAGATATACTTAGTATGTAGCTACTTGGCTGTCATTAGATTATTTTTATCAACATAACCCAAGTGGTATGATCAGACAGCATGCATAGATTTCTCTTAATCTGTTGTTACAGATTTTCACATTGGTGTTCTTAGTCCAAGGAAAATAGGGATTGAAAGAATAGATAATTCCTTCATATACAGTATAGAATCTGTTTGTTTCAGATATTTAATTATTCTTATTAAAAGCACTGTTTGATTTCAGACTCATAAGTGAAATTTTGCTATTATTTTCAGGCTCTTAACAGTATTGGCTTTGGGAAAGAGAGTGAGAGGTCCATGAGAATGACTAAATCAATAAGAGATGACATTCCTTCAACCCCAGAGAATCTGGTCAAGTGGGCCTTAGACAATGGCTATAGTCCAGTGACATCATACACAGTGGCTCCTGTGGCTAATAGATTTCACCTTCAGCTTGAAAACAATGGTAAGTTTGATTTTTTTTTTAATTGTATTGAAAATATCCCTCAAGTGAAGCATTCCAATGAGGAACTCTCACTTCAGGGTGCTGTTTTTTTATTGCAAATTTTAATGATTTGTTTAACCACTTTTTACTATAAAGCTTAAAGTTATCTTGACTTGTGATAGATTATTTTGAGGTAAGGGTCTTTAATATAGATTTTTTAGTAACATAATGTTGATTGCATGTTGGAGAACTTTGTTATAAAGCGCGTTCACTGTGATTACATTAATAATAAGTTAGCCTGGCCTCCTGGTTCCGAGGTACCTAATAATAACTTACAGCTGAGATACAGAGGGGTTGCGACTGCAGGAGAGAAGTCTTAGCTCAGGCTGTATCTTATATAAAAATAGTCACGAGGACATGCACAACGTGCTTTCTCATTCTCAACATAAGCAACCCAAATGGTATGATCAAACAGCATGAAGAGATTTCTCATTCTCATTCTCACCTAGAGGGAATATGGGAGAGTTGTTACCCCAGGTCGATGGAGCAGAAAGCAGAGGCTTAACAAGTTCTTGAGGTTTTCCAGGGTCGTATAGCTGCTGAGACTCAAATCCTAAGTTTTCTGCCCCCCAGACCTGTTTCTCACCCCATGGTGTTGCTACTGAGTGCAGTGCTGATAGGATGAAGGTTAGGAGTACAGGTTCAAGTCCCGGCTCTGCCATTTATTCACTGTTTGGGGTGGGGGGAGAAGGGGGAAGCTGATTAACCCCTGAGCCTCAGGCTGTTCCTCCTCAGTAATATGGGAGAATAATGGGACCTACCTCACAGGGTTGTTGTGAAGGTTTTTGTCAAAGTACAAATTAAAAAACCCTCCAAAGCTCTGATTTCTTTTGGACCCATGCAGCTGTGCTCTTTAAAAGATTGTATTAAAGGAGAGGTAATGTCCACTGGTCATCTTCACTTTCAACTCCCACTGAGATGGATTGACCTCAAGCACACGTCAATTGGCTTTGGAGAGTGGATGCAGAAAATACTAGGGAAAGGTTTTTTTTTTTTTCTCTAAATTGTTGACAATATGAAAAGACACTGACTGTTGATTGAGTGGAAATATGTCTCTCCCTTTGAAAGGATAAGTAGCTATGCAGCTTTTTTAGAAATAAAACCTAAACAGCTTTTTCTTTTCTCCCTCAGGACTAGGTTCTAAAACGCCAGGATACCCAGATACCTATAGAATTTAGCAGTCAAAAAGGAGGCAGCAAATAATTTTCTTTTTTCACAGATGTAAAAATTTTTTATTTTATTTCATCTCATTCATTCATTCAACAAATATTTATTTGTTTGTTTGTTTGTTTGTTTTTAACAAGAGAAAACAGAGTTTATTAATGTATGTGGCACATATCCCATGAGAGAAATCTCACTGATGAGTAACTCAAAAGTTGTGGTTAGAACATCTTGTTTTGTTTGTTTGTTTTGTTTCATTTTTTTATTATTTATTTTTTATTAGTTTCAGGTGTACAAAACAATGCAATAGTTATACTTTTAACCCCTCACAAAGTGACAACCCCCTTTCCCCAATCCACAACTAATTTTAAAATACCAATATTGTTTTAAGAAATCTTTACAGAAACTTGTCTAAAAAACCTCTAGATACAAGGGAAATATTTCAATGGAATATGAATGGACTAATATTGCCCCACATAACTTATTAGAATTATGTATTTTTATAGTTTGTAGTACTTTAGAAACCATCTAATCCAATGCCTCTCAACCTTGGCTGTACACTGGAATCATGTGGGGAGCTTTCAAACATACTATTAGGCACCGCTCCAGAGGGCCTGATTTTTAATTGGCCTGGGGTGAAACCTGGGCAGAGGGATTTTTTTTTTTAAGCTCCCAAAGTGATTTTAATGTGCAGCCAAAGTTGCGAACCACTGATCTCACCCAACCTCTTAATTTAAAAAAATTGGGAAACCAAGGTACAGAGAAGTAAGCCACTGGCCCAAAGCCGCTCGGGTTAGAAGGAACACCAGGACTAGATAGAGTTCAGGCTTCCACACTCCTCATCTCTTCTATACATTACTTGTTAAGAGTAATTTTACACATACCCATTCTCTGCTAATTCCTTCCGTTCTTGCCTCTAACGATGATTGCATTCTTGCATCAAACACTGATGATGTTGTGCTTTCTTCTGTCACCACCAGAGGAGATGAGAGATGAGGAAGTACATACCATCCCTCCTGAGCTACGGATCCTACTGGGACCTGGCACCCTGGACAACCCACCCATCCGGGGAGGGGGTGGCCAGAATGGAGGCTTCCCCTTTCCTTTCCCGGACCTCGCCAGGAGAGGCCAGAAGGAAGGGGGAGAAGATGGGATCCCCCAGCCAAAGGACCCTGTCGTCCCCAGCTTACGACTGATTTCTGGTCCCAGAGAGCCTGAGGAGGTGCAAGGGAGCATGGATGTTGCCCTGTCAGTCAAATGTGACAATGAAAAGATGATCGTGGCGGTAGAAAAAGATTCTTTTCAGGTCAGTGCCGGTTCTTAAAGGGGAGACGAGAAGGTCACTTCCCTCCCCATCTTGCCGCAGTGTGTGTTAGTAATTTCCCTCTAGCTCCTTTACTTTTGGACTCCAGAGACTTGATACTGTTGTCTCAGTTGGATGGGCTCACTTCCCCTTGGCTGTGATTCTCAACCGGTTCCTGTTGTTCTCAGTAAGGGGGGTTCCAGGTTCTTGTGTGTCAATATTTTGCTATTGAATTTCCAAGGCCAACAAACACAATCCTTAGGCTGTTGAGAGCTGGTAGGCTGGGAAGAGGTAAGAGGAGAGGGGAATGCAGGCCTCAGCAATCTTTACTTGGAGACCAGGCAAAATGTGCTGCGTGCTGCAGAACTGCCTGTGGTTCCCCCCTTAATGTCTTCGGTGGTTGTTATTTCAGGCCAACAGCTACTCGGGGGTGGAGCTCACCCTGTTGGATCCTACCTGCAAGGCAAAGATGAATGGCACCCACTTCATTTTGGAGTCTCCCCTGAATGGCTGTGGTACTCGGCACCGGCGGTCAGCCCCTGATGGTGTGGTTTTCTATAACTCTGTGAGTGTTTGCCAGAACAAAGCTTGGCCCTTTGACAGCGCCTTACCAGGTGTTAGCCAAAATTCAGTCTTACAATTTCTCTGAAAATGAAGAGGGGCATATACCTCAGGCCCCAAACAAAGTCAAGTGTCATTCTCAACAAGGTGGGATGTATTTTGACTCTGAACTTTTTTGTTTTGTTTGCTTTGTTAGTGAATCTGTGGGGGTTGGGAGGCCCTGTTTTTTTGGTTGGAGCATTTATGGTCATCTCTTTTACTCCTCCTTCCATTTCCTGGTGACAGAGGGTTCATTGGCAAGGTAATTATGACCTGTCTGTGTGACCTGGTCCTTATGAAGATAAAATCCAATCCTATAAGTGAGCACAGCTACACAACTGAGCCAACCACTTCCCTGGTCTCTCTGGCCTCATTTGAATCCTTCCCAGGATTGGGAGGACTTCTCACCTCCCTCATGAACAAAAGAGCGAAAAGAGAGAAATCAGAAAAGGGCCTTCAAGAAATTATTAAGTCTCTCTCCGCCTCTAAGAAAGACCCTAAATTAAAGAAAATCTTCTACTTTTGAAGTTACCCAGAGTGAGATTTCACAGATTCCCCCAATGATAATCCATTGCAATAACTAACCTACATTTTTCTGAAATCATTCTTGTCGGTTCTTTTAAATCTTTTCAGGTTAAACCTATTCTTGCAGAGATGACATTAGGCAGTAAATATTAAAATAATTCAACACCTGCTATCTCAAAAGAACTTTAGTGTTAATTTTGCAGTTCAGGTGGTACTTTTGATGGTGAAAATAAGCTCATGGGTCCCTGTGTCCAACTTGGACACGGTGTGTGTGTCTGTGCTCTTAGAGCCTGCCCCAGCTTTGTCATGGGGTGGGGAGCTGCCAGACTGCTCATTCTCATTCATTTCACTGCCGGTGGATGGAAGCACCTGACCCATCCAGAGAAAAGACTGGCCATCGGGTCCTCCAGTCACTGTGGCTCATGTGAGGACTGAGTCCTGTGAGCCCAGACAATCTTAGAATGTTTGAGCTGGAAAGAACCCTAAGATGACCTCATTCAACTTCCTCATTTCACAGGTGAGGGAATTGAACCCCAGGGAGGTGAGGGACTTGCTTAGATTTGAGGGACTGGTTAACGGCAGAGCCAGGCAGAATCCAGCCTCCTGACCTCTCGTCCATTCATCTTTCCTCAACACCAGGCTAGCCCAGCTGATCTGCCTTTGTTACTGGAATAATCTATGAAACTTTGACCTTTATGATGAACACTTTCTGCCAATTCCAACACTCATTTTCATGTAATTGTCCAGTTTTTCCAGATAAAATAAATATCATATTACTGATATACTGTACTTGATTTTGGAATTTTAAACTTGTGTCTAAATTAACACCAATAAGAGGCTATGGTAATCTGCCTGTTAAGTAAAGACGAAGTGTCATTTGCCTCAAAAGAGAAAAGTATAGTGTGAGCCAGCCCTTGAAAACCTTTTATCTTATTATGTATGTATTATGGTGATGATGATGATGATGATGATTCTAGGGTAAGCAATATCCTAGGTATTTGCTTAATTTTATCAGTACTTTTGAGGACATGTTAAAGAATAGAGAGGTAGTTTTCCTGTATTCTGTTCCCATTCTACTCCCTTTGGTGACTATTTTAGCTGTTGTTCCAGTTATATTTATTTGTAGTAATAGACTTACTACATATTTTTGTTTTGAAACATATTCAAAGTCTAAGCATGTGAAGCAAAAAAAAAGAAAAACAAAAACAAAAAGAGAGCATGACTATCCTATATATGCAAAGAAATTATTGGGTTGTCGGAAAAGTCATGACATATTTTTTCTATGTTTTTTGTTGCAAAAATGCATCATGACTTTTCCGACAATCCAATAGGATTTTACTTATGGAATCATGGTCTTTAGATGAATTTTTTCATCGTATTTAGAACTAACCTAGGAATAATCATTTCAACCAGTGTTAAGATAGACTGTCGTAGAATAAAACATGATGTTCTTCCATGCATCTGTACACCATAGAGAATGATATTGGGGAAGAAATGGGGAAAAGAAAGAAGAGTACAAGAGAAAAGATGGGAGAATGGCTCAGTAGTAAACATGAAGTCCTTTGCTTCTAACTCAAACTAAACTCCTTGCATTAGCTAGCTCTAAGTATTTCTTAGAAGTTTCACTATAAAGAAAAGCAGCCTAGAAGAAGTCCCCCTCTTCCATGGTATGGGACAAGCCTATCTGACTACCCCATCCAACCCTATTTCAGTGTCTAGTGTTTTCTCACTATTTGAGATTATTTGTATTTTTTCACAAGGGAAGATACATATTTTAGTTCACGTCCTAATCTGAACATGCATTGGGTTTCTCTTTATTTTTCATCTCTTTGAAGATAAAATCTTAAGCAAACTTGGAGATTGTGTGTGTGTGTGTGTGTGTGTGTGTGTGTGTGTGTGTGTGTGAGAGAGAGAGAGGTAGAACGAAATGCATGTGATGTTGTTTTTATGACATTGTCTGTGTTTTCTTTCCCTTTTAGATTGTGATACAAGTTCCATTCCCTGGGGATAGTAGTGGCTGGCCAGATGGTTATGAAGATTTGGAGTCAGGTGATAATGGATTTCCGGGAGATATGGATGAAGGCGATACTTCCCTTTTCAGCCGACCTGAAATTGTGGTGGTATGTGTTTGTTTGCAGTAGGTAGTTTGTGGAGAATATTTTTTGGCTAGCTTCAGCTAGGAACTAGTGGGGGGAAAAAATGGATGTTAAAGGCCAAAGCTCATGCTTCGTTTGACTATGATTTATCTCTGTCTTGTTTTCCCCCCCAGTTTAACTGCAGCCTGCCCCAGGTGGGGAATCCCAGTAGCTTCCAGGACCCGCCCAGCAGAAATATCACCTTCAACATGGAGCTGTACAACACTGACCTCTTCCTGGTGCCCTCCAAAGGGGTCTTCTCTGTGGCCGAGAATGGACACATTTATGTCGAGGTGGGATTTCAGCGTTAGCCTTGGCCTTTGGGTTAGTGCTAAGTTGTGGTAGCTCCTGGGGCATAAGCCAAAGCATCCTGGAGCAGACCTTCCTGCTCTTCCTCACAGCCCTTGACCAGCTCTGGGTGAGGGCTTGGCTCAGAAAACGCTTCCAGGTGGATTCCTGACCAAAGCAGGAAATTTCAGGATTTGCTACATTATCCTAAAGGGATAGACTGTTTTATAGACAAATGTTTAAAAAACATTGTCAGTTTTTACTGAATTCTACTAATTAACAGAATTTACAGAATTCTACTAATAAAGCCCTGTCCTTGCTCTGTCCTTAGCATTTTTGGAACAGTAGTTCAGTAGTTGCAATGTCAGAGTTAACCATGACATATTTGTAACTACCTTACATTTTATCTTTTAAATTGCACACACTTTAGTGAAATGTTATGTGCTACTATATCTCATGAAAATTGTTTTTTTCTAGATCATTACTTAAATGTATCTATACATTTATTGAAACTATTTTCTATATATAACAATAATCATGCATAGCATAAGTCTGTGGAATGACTACAAAAATATTAGGTAGTAGTGGAAATAATGATGTAACAGCTAACGTTTATTGTGGATTTATTTTGGGCCAAACTCAGTTGTAAGTATTATAGTAATTTACTCTTAAAAGCATTCCTATGAGATAGGACTATTAATATCCCTATTTAATGGATAGGAAACTGAGGCACAAATATGTCTAAGGCCACACATTTAGTACCTACTAGGGTTCAGAGTCAGGGCTAATACTCAGGCTGTTTGGCTCCACTGCCCACACTGTTACCCACTGGATGCTGTCATTTACCCGCAAGTGCCATTTGGAAGGAGAGAAATATATAACCTCTTAGCAGTGCAAATATACAGATTCACAGATTGGCCACAGGAAAAATATCCTTATGGCCCCAGGATGTCTACTGGTCTTACAGGAGAGTCGCCATCTGATGAGCTGGTTTGGGTGCTAAGCTCTAAGCTGGTGTTCTATCATAATTCAGTGTGGGAGGAGTGAAAACTTAAGGGGTCGAATGGGATACTTCCATGTATTAAAAGTAACTTTAGTGCACTATTTCTATTTTAGAAAGACAAATCACTCTCACATTTGTACTGATTCTGGGATGGAGCCTGCTGGCTTGAGACATTCTCCTGGATCTCTCCTCTTTTTTAATTCCCTCTTTTGAGAGGTCTCCTCTTGCTTTGGGTACACCTTCTTTCTCCACTGGAGAAAATACACTGCTTTTTCTGCATGCTGTTCCTAATCATAGATGTCTTCTAATCTAAGATGTTGTTTTCTTCTTTTCTGGCTGCACCATCTACATGTGCAGTTGGTCAGTGACTCCCTGTTGTGCTATAGATTTTAGGGGTGCTGCTTAACTGCAGTTTACTCTTTTCCAAATGTGTGCCTGGCTTTGCTAATTTATGGCTTAGCTGCTTTATGCTAATCGCTGGCCAATCTTCTTGTATCCAGCTCTAGGTATTTTGGGTTTTCTCCCCTTTCCTCCAGTGCAGGCTTTCTTGAAATATGGGTGTTTGTTTCTTTATTCTTATTTTCCCATTTATATATTTTTTATACATATCATCTATGTTTTTCATAATTAAATTCAAAGATATTGTCAAGTGATGACAAAGAACTGGACCAAATCTTTTTGCTACCATTTTAAATATCAAGCACATTGAGGAGAATTTGGACAGGGGGGAATGTTATAAACTGTTTTATTTTAAAGTTGTTTTAAACCACCTAAAATGTGAGAGAGAATCTGTAAATATTTTGCTAACTAGGATGGCAGCTATGCCTATTCTTTGTTTCTTGGTTTAGACTTCACTGCTGATAAGAAACTTTAAAAAAATGTTTCTTTTAAAATTTTTTTTTTAATTTTTTGCTTAGGGTAAATAAAGCTTACTAAATCACTGGCTTGGTCTAAAGAACTATTTCCAAGTTTCTTCTCTCGGTCAGCCTTATCACATCCCCTCCCAGAATCCTCTGTTCATGCTAGACTGTAGTCCCTTCCTTTAAGCCAAAACATTATCAGTTTTGCCATCTGGGCTTTGTCATCTTTGGATGATAGTTGGTCACATAATGGCAGCTTTTCTTTTAGTTCATTTGTCTTGGGATTAAAAGAAAAAACTTTTAAACCACCAAAATTTAAATCTAGAGTACTACTACTAATAATAGTTGGTATTTATTGACTAACCAGAAGCTGTATTTTTTTGCATGTAATTTTGACTACAAATTCTCACAATAACTGTATCTGGTAGGTAGTACCCCTCAGCCTGTGGGGGAGGAAACTAAGGCTTAGAATTTGCTGTGCATAAGCAGAGGAGCATGCGATCACCTGGGATTGGTCTCATTCTGTAGCCCTTATACTAGTCGTTTCCAGTCCATTTTAGAGTAAAAGATTTATTAATAAAATTTTTTCTTCCAAAACAACTTTTTGGGATACCTTAGACATTTCTGCCATTACATACTTTCTTTGAAATTAGGCAAAAGATCGGCTTTTTTTTTTTTATCACACATTTTTGCATTGTGGGTTCTGAGTTCATGGTAAAGGGCAGTTTTTAGTAATGAGATGTATGTAATTTGCCATCTTTCCAAGATAAAATATCTTATTTTTCAGAAATACTGCAAAAATAATGAAGTGTGAATACTATTGTACTTCCTGGAAAGATTTCTTAACAAAGTATTCTCCCAAGGCCACTTCTTGGGCCTGGTTGAATTGACCCTGTAGCTATTGTATAATGAAATTGTAAAGAGGAAGTGGACTTGTAGACCATATCTGAGTTTAAGCTTTGGTTTTACCCAGGATTTGCTAGATATGATTTTGAACAAGTCATCTATCCTGTGTATTCAGTTTTTCCTCTATTTATAACATGGAGATGAAAATATTTATCTCATAATATTGTTCTGAGGGAATAAGCTTTAAGGCACAACAAAGTTACATGATCATAATCATCTTCATTGTTAAGCATCTTGTAGCGAACCACGTACGGATCTTTCAAAATAGCACCATGGACTGAAAACCCTATGGGATGTCAGGGATTTCCCCTGGGTTTCTCAGAATGGAAAGTATGTTTATGTCTCCATGCCTTTCGAAAGGATTCTAGGACTATTGGACTATGGTTAAGGATTAGCTTTTTATTTCTAAAGTGTTTAAGTTTATTTTGATCCTACGTTTAGTCAAGGAATGAAGCTTAGAGGGGAGAGGCAGTTTGTGCAGTGATCCATGTGTCACCAAATGGAGAATCCAGCCTGGTCCCGGGATTTTAGCTAACTTTAGGATAGTTGAGGTTTGAATTCTGTTTACACTTGGCCAAACACTACTTCCTGCTTCTAAAGAAAAGAACCTTAACAAGGTTTGGACATAGCCCATACAAATGTTTTGTAAGAGGGAAGTGTAAATGAGTCAGAAACGTTTCCAGATTAGATTTCCCTTAAAATACCCTTGGGCTTAAAGAGTGAAGGGAGAGTATTTGGCAAAGCCTGGTTTGGATCTGTGAGTGGCTGGGACACTTTGCCAGGCCCATCTGTGATCGCCACCAAATTGCACCGTCGCTGACATCCAGCCCCAGGGGCCATCTCTGCCTGCAACCCGTGAAGCAGGACTTTAGATGATCTGTAGCTTTGCTGCAATGTTTTAGGCTCATTCTGACTCGTTGCAGATTAGAAATTTATTACTCCCTGCCTAGGTTAAATAGATCCTGCCTCTGTATTTTTTGAGCAGTTTTTTTAAAAAGCTTGCCTTACAACTGATGCACTATTATGACAACTGGCTTTGCCTGCTGGTGTTTTATTTATTTTGGAAAATCCAATTTAAGTGAATGGTATGCTTTTATTTTTATCTCCCAGAGGACTTATGGGAGGTTGACTTATTCATTTTGTATTGGTATCTGGCAGGCTGGCATTTGGACTAAATAATTCATTGTTGCCATCCATATCAAATTTCAGTAGAAAACATCTCTCTCTTCAATGAGTGTATGTTACTTTTGTAATTAAAAAGAAGACTGTATAAGTATGTTGTGAAAATAAAGCAATGTCTCTCATCAGAATGACCAGGTTGGTATGTTACCTTTGTGCCTACAATAAAAGTGAGATGCTAACTTGTTTTTGTATCATTCTTTCTCTTCTTTGTAGGTATCTGTTACAAAGGCTGACCAAGAACTGGGATTTGCCATCCAAACGTGCTTTATCTCTCCATATTCAAACCCTGATAGAATGTCTGATTATACCATCATTGAGAACATTTGTCCTAAAGATGAGTCTGTGAAATTCTACAATCCCAAGAGAGTGCACTTTCCTATTCCGCAAGCCGAAATAGATAAGAAGAGATTCAGCTTTGTTTTTAAGCCCATCTTCAACACCTCGCTGCTCTTTCTACAGTGTGAGCTCACATTGTGTACCAAGAAGGAAAAGGACCCCCAGAAGTTACCTAAGGTGGGTGGGCCTTCATCCATTTGTACTGTTACTTTGACATTTTTAGGTGAGTCAGTGACCTTCCAGAGAAGTTTAATCACAAGTTATCGCAGGTTGTAGTGTTGGGTTTGGAAACTTCCCAATTGAGGTGATAAAATCCGTGTTCGCTGGGAACTCTGAGCTTTATGGCGTTTTAGATGATAAATCCTGACAGTCTGATTTTTTTTTTCTATGCATGCTACTTAATAGTATCTTATGAATGATAAATCAAGACTGTTTTCCATTGAGGGAGAGGTCTGGCTTTATCTTTGCTATTCAGATAGTGTACGGTGCCAAAAATACAGAGAGTTGAAAGGACAAGTTCAGTGTGAGGATTAATTTTTCCAGGTCCCACTGAGACTTGTATTGCAGTTGTTTTTTGACCTTTTCTGTGTGAGTTATAAGGTTGACTTGTCTCAGGAGAACTTCTAAGGGAAACTAACAAATATTTAAATTTTTCTCGGTTCCATATTGATTCATTATATTTGCTTCATATCCCTCCCCATATTGAACCAGCACAACAGAAATCAGAACCCTTTGATCTTGCTGGAATGGCTACTATAACAGGATCGGTAAAGTTAACTATCTCATCAGGGTAGCCTTGTACATGAAAGGTGTCTACTGCTATGGGTTTTTTTTTTCTGTGATCTGCCATAATATGTATAATTTCATATGTGTGTTTATTCTGTAGATATGTCGCACAGTGTTCACTTTTCATCCTTTTGTAGTCACATATCAATCAATGTCTAAAAGTCTGATAATTGAGCTATATCATTAATGTATGTGTGGAATTCTCTCAATACATAGGTTGTAAGGTAAGTGTAGAAGTAGGAGAAGAAATGATCATTATCGGATCGATTACCATTGATCTGAAACCTTTGCGCTAGTATAGTCCCCTGGACATCCCTTTCCCTGATACCATCAAAGAAAATTTTATAGTACATATGAAAATACTGCATGTCTGAGTATAATCATTAGGGAGCTTGTATGTATAAGGTAATTTAGGCTGCATTCTTTAGGTTGCTTTTGGAAACATTGATGCCTTAGCCTTGTGAGCATTCACCTTCCAGTGGCCATCAAGGTTGGGGTTTGGTGTTAGATAACCATGGGGAATGTAATGCTTGGCTGTAGGACCCAGCTGTTTCCTGTAGGCAAAGGATGACGTTTAGGAGTTAGGGATCCATCCAGTAGGGGAGACCTGGTAGTTATGGGGCCAGGGGGCGGGGTGTCTTTATTGATAGCTTTGGCTGTTACCTTTCACTGAACCTGGCCTGTAGCAGTCCAGCTTCATAGTGTGTTGATCTGTGAAAAATGAACATTCTAAGGAGAGCTGTAAGTCCCAGGAGATGAGATGGGATGTTACCCTCAACCTAAAGTCACCATTTATACCCAAGCCAAGATGCAGTGGAAGGAACATGGGGACTGACAAGGAAGGCCTGCTACTTGCTAACAGAACTTTAAACAAATCCCTTGACCTCTCAGAATCAGCATTTTATCATCTATAAAATTAAAATAATAGTACCTCACTTTCCTCTTGGGTAGAGAAGCAAATAAGATAGTAGATATGATGACAGTCCACCATTTATTGAGCAGCGGCTTAGGATGAACTATTACCCTGTCTCCCTGATTACTGCTAATAGTTAATATTTCCATATTACTAGTGACTTCTGAGTACTTTCCATGACAATAGACAGAGCCAAAGAATCTTCCAGGAAATGGTCTCAAGGGTGATTGAGTCCAGCCTTGCCCTTTGCTGATGGAACTGAGGCCAGAGAGTGCAGTGTCTTGCCCAGAGTCATGCAGTGAGTTAGTTGTAGAATTGTAGACTTTAACTTAACTAAAGAACTAGTAGGAGAGTAAGAAGGCTTTTCCTAAAATGCAAATCTTTTTAATAATGATCCCTCTTCACAGAAAATCCATTGTTTCCCTCTACAAGAAGGCTATTGTAAAGGCTTTTCTGATTTGGGGGGGAGGGGAAAGCAGGAGTTGTCTGCTTATAGTATGTGTCTGATTTGCATGTTTCTCAGATCAGCAATGACAATAAAGCCAAAAGTCTTCGCCCTTTTGTGATTGGAAGAGCTGGAAATTCTTGTTATAGACTTTTAAAATGATTGATACATTTCTTCTTACAACAAAAACAAATAGATGTCATTTACATTAGAATCTCACCTATTGATGAGCACAGACAAGGAACCAAAGTTATTTAAAACAAAAAGTTAATAGATACAATTATATACTTTTTGAAAACAGATCCACTGGGCTTGGGCATGCTAGTTATAAGTTTGGGGCCTTAAAATAGCTAGAAGCAGCTGATCTCATGGCCTCCACACCTGGGCACAACTCCCAAAGACTCTATTTTGGAACAATAAAAACAGATGGCCCTGGAAACTTTCATTCTGCATGAGCCTATACCAGGATTAAAAAATCAAACAAACTCGACAACATGATTATCTTTTTGGACAACAAATGTAAAATCTGTCACCTTCATAATGAAATACATGAGGTTTCTCACAATCACAAACCATAAACATGAATCACTTATGTGAAGCCAGCTTGGAGAAGGGCCAACATTTGTAATATAGTTTCTTTATTTTTCACACTAAATAACACTAAAACTTCAATTGTTTTGTGGGAAGAAAGTGGGGTGGGGAGGAACAATATTTATAAGCTGTCCAGCACTATTTGCATCTTCAAGTACAGCTGAGAATATACTTCACGTACAGCCTGCCACTATATCTCCCAGATTATTTGTGGTTCTTTGAAAAACACCCAGGTCTCCTGTTTTTCTGTGGTAACCAGTTGTGAGCTGTCTGATATGGGGCACAGGACAACTGTGCAGGCTGAGCTGGTAAAGGCCCCCTTGAGTGACTGCTGACTCTTGCTTTGCTCTGCCTCTCTGCAGTGTGTGCCTCCTGACGAAGCCTGCACCTCACTGGATGCCTCGATGATCTGGGCCATGATGCAGAACAAGAAAACGTTCACCAAGCCCCTCGCTGTGGTCCATCATGAAGTAGAATCTAGAGGTGTGTTTTGGGAGGCTCAGTCAGAGCATGGGGGTCTCAGGGCTGCTTGTTCAGAAGCTCCACTACTGTAAAAGTCCAAGTTTATTCAAAAGATATATTAATGGCCAATTAGTAATTTTAGAAAAGGATTCCTTGCCCAGGGAATCTTTTATTTAGTTTATTGTCCTTCTGATATGTGATAACGTTTACAAATGATTTCCTCTTTAAATATTTGATCAGAGTCAAGTGTCATAGTGGCACTATCTCTTGCATTTAAATATGCTTCCTTGAGTATATTAGAAAGGATTAGAGCTCCTCCTGGTATGCTGGAATTGCACACAGTCCTCAGCCCATCTTTCTGTGATCTACTGGTAATGATTGTGTTGGCTACAAGCCATTGTAGTGCTTTGTCAAGATTGCAAATGTTTTTGGGAAGGATGTTATGTATGTGAACACCATCCATCTTAGATATCACAGCAGAAAGAAGGTTGAGAACTAGTGTTCAAATGTGTCCTTATAATTTAGTTTTCAGATGTTCAAATGTGTTCTTATAATTTAGTTTTCAGAATTTTATGCAGTCACATTTGTTGCTTGAAGTCAAGGGTCCCTCTTCTTGTGCATGCAGGAATGTTCGGCAAGCTGCATCTTCTGGGAGAAAAGGAAGGCTGTACCTTAAGAGGTGTGGTATTAGTACTTGGGAGGACAAGTGGGGCAAAGCCAGACCTGGCATAGGTCAGGCCAGCCAAAACAGCAGAGAAGCAGAGTGGGCTCTGTGGGGATGTTAGGAATGGATATGAGGCCCTGTGGACGGTGTGGAGATCATCTGACAGGGAGCAGCATCGCAGTTCCAACCAAGGGCTTGAAAAAGCAAGGACACACCAGGCAACTGTCAACATCTGACTAAGGGAACCAGATGTCACATGGGCAGTTACAGTTGTCACTGTCTGAAGAAAACCTATGGCTATCCAGAAACATTGCTTAAAGGTGCCAAATTAAGAGAAGGCTGGGAGAGTAGAAGTGGATTCCAAGCCTCTGGGGTTAGATATTGGGGGGCGGTGGGGGAGTCAAGAGCTGCAGAGGGGCAGAGAGGAGCCTGGCACTGGCACCCGGGGCCTTGATAAAAGCCAGTGAGCAGCCTGACTCCAGTTGCCAAGCATTAGCTAGGAGACCTGCTGGGTGGTGCTGACACCAGATCTAGGCTTGGGGCAGCTCTGGGATGGCATGTCTGATCCAAGCGTTGTTGGATTTGGCAAGACTAGGCAGCAGGGGCAGCCCTGAAGCAAACAGGACCTAACAGAACAGAGGCATGTGGATACCATCCAGTTTCTTCTTTGGTTGCATGACCTTTGTGAAAACAGCAGTGCCATTCCTATTGTCATATCTGTGGTGACATCTGCCCCCTTCCTAGGAACATGCTCGCTTCAGAAAGGCAGGAAAGGGTGGCAGGGAGGGCACTGGCTTAGAGCCAGGAGCCTGGGGGGTAGCTCTTAGCTGTGGAACTTTGGAGATCTCCCCTGATGGCCTTGGGTTTCATTTTCTTATCTAGAAAAGGAGAGTTTTGGACCAGGTGACTTCCAGAGGCCTTTCAGCTGAAACACAGCTATACTGTTTGAAGAAGGAAAATACTCTTTTATTCATTTTCCAGCCATCCGAAAGTTGGTATAAAATGTACATATTATTTGGGTTGTCAGAAAAGTCATGGCGTGTTTTTCTACATTTTTCATTGCAAAAATGTGTCATGACGTTTCCAACAACCCAATAGATATTTATTGGTTCCTCAGCAAAATTTCTGTTGTTATTGTTCATTTGTTTTTATTTTTTTAGTTGGTTTCCAACCATTTGAAATAGTTAGAATAGCCACAGCCTTTCAATACATGGATTGCCCAAATAGTTCCTTGTTGATTAGGTCCAGGGGAAAGAAATAAGAATAAATTAATCGTGTTGCAAAGTATATTACAGTTGGACAGCAGCTGGCTCTGTTTTGTATTGTGAAAGTGGTTTAACAATAGCAATAGCTTCCTCGTACTTCATCTGTTGCTCTTACCTATTTTGAGAGAGGTAATTCTGCTGGTAATTGAAGGCAGCAGCTTGCTTTTTTCTATGCCAGACAATAATTAGGCATTAATATTGCAGGAGTATAACTTCCAGTAATTCATTCTTTCTTCTTTTAAGTCTGGTGGTATTTTTCTAAGTAATTCCTCTTGCAAATTAGGTAATTACTTTTATTTAAACTTAGTGTAATTATCCGGAAAGTTCAGTGTTTTCTTTACATAAATGTTCAAGAGGGAAGTTTTGCCGAATATCAAAGCAATTTTATGAGATTTGCTAATTGAGACTAGATTTTTGTGGAGAAGCATGTAGCGAAGAAAGTTTACTGCTTAGATTTGTTAAACAAATTGAGAAGTTTGGATTGCAGGCCAGCTTCCCAGGGGCTGCATGCAAAGATGCTTTCTAACTTTGCACTCAATGGGGTAGGTTTTCTGGCAGGTTTCAACTATGAATCCTCTTACCTTTTATGTTTATTTTCCTTTAACTCGAATATCATTTTTCCTCAATATAGGCCAGTTGAATCTGTGCTTTTTCTCTGCCTCTCAGTGCCTTGGAATAGTCAATTGAAAAGGGAATATGACATTTGCCTAGTAGCACCCATTTATTTGAATAAGAGAATCATGAATGTTCTTCTTGCCAGACAGCTTTAATGTGTTAGTATAGTAAGACACAGATACTATATTATCTCAGGAAATGGGCGGGTCTGTTATTGGGATTGAGTTTGGAGTAAAAATTTCCCAACCAATGGGATGTTTCACTGTCCTTTTACTACACAGGTGCTCTTTGCAGGCCATGCCAAATTCCCAGCCCTCTCTGGTCATTTGGGCCATTGAATTTCTCAGTACTTGAGTCCTCTGGGGCAGCAGATAAAGGCTCTGGTTGTCAACTTCACAGCCAGGCAGAGAATTGCTCGGGGGCTACCACTGCCAGTAGCATGGACGCATTTCAGGCGGTGTTTCTTCCTTCTGTGGGCAGGGAGAATAGGCCATCAAGACCAAGTGAATTCTGGGTCCCTCTTCTGGGCCACTGTTTTTAATGGAAACTTCCTGAGCTCCTGCAATACATCTTGGCCACTTTTGATCTCTCAGTTCCTTGGGAACTAGCATTGGGTGAGAATTCTTTTGCTGTTTAAACTTTCAACAAGAGGTGATGGTGCTAGTGGTGATGGTGGTAATGGACATGATGATTATCTAACATTTCTTGAGCATTTACTTAATACGCGGTTCTGTGCTAAATGCTTTATATGGGTTATCGTGTTTAATCCTCATAGCCCCTTTGTGAGGCAGGTGTAGAGGGAAAGTAACTTGGCCAAGGCCACACCTCATATTAATGGCGGATCTGGGTTCAACTCCAGGCACTTTGATTCCAGAGCGTGTGCTCTTAAACTCTATGCCTTATCCTAGGAGGAGGCTGATTCTAGGGTTTTTGGGTTTTTTTAATAAAATCTACAAATAACATAGTTAATAGCCTATGAACTGAAAAGAAGATGAATAATTTTAGGAAAAAGCCTATTCCTCCAAAGGGTTAAGGGATCAAGAAACATGTAAACTATTTAAGAGACTATTAAAGTTGAGGAGAAATTCTGTGACTTTGAATTACAACTCACAAAAAAGCCCAGAAAACATGAATAGTTTATACATATTATGGTTTATGGCAAAACAATTAAAATAGTTGAGATGATGCCATCCTGCCATATTTTCTGAAATATTTTGAAGTATAGGCCTGTTAGTGTTGTTTGCTTTGGATGCCATGACCACTTTTTACAGCATTTGAGAACACTTGGGCTTCCACAATAAAAATGATTTTACCACGTCAGTGATGATTTGTTTTAAATGGTGAAAGGGAGAGTAATTATTTTTCTGATAGTTTGGGCTCTAAAATTTTGGGCACATATACAAAAAAAATGGGGCACAAAAGAATAATATCATCCCCAAATTTGCCATGATTTATATACAATGTGTAATTCTTAGCAAGTTAAAATGAGTAAGTTAAATGTTAAAAATACTGAATTTTTTCCATATTTCTACCACATAACTTTCACAAAATAAAAGTGTGCTCAGGACAGCACCTGGCATATCATGGGCACTCCGTAAATGTTAATTTCCTTTCCTTCCTCTTAACCTCTCAGCCAAACTAGGTTTTTTGGGGAAAGAGGTGGGGATGGAAGGGAAAGTTGTGAACGTCAGTTGGAAGTTAATCCAAGAGCAGTGTTACTTTTTTGGAACACATTTGAATTTTCCAGAACAAAAATACTTTAAAGCATCAGCCAGGTTTTATCCTCAGGCTGAGGTAAAGATGAGGGTAAGGCTGAGTAGAAAGAAATGTAGAAAAGCTTAATTGACAGGCCAAGACATTCCGTTTCTATCTCATAAGGGAGAAGGGATATGATAGGGATTTTTTTATTCAATGTGCTCCATTTTAAAAACTTTACACTCTGGAAATTTCAAATATATACAAAAAATAGAGAGGACAGTAGAATGAACTCCCATGAACCCTCCATCCGGTTTCAACAATTACCAATTCATAGCCAATCTTGTTGTATCACTTCCTGTCCCTGGATTGTTTTGTAAGAAACCCAGATATTTCATTTCATCCATATTTATTCCAGGATACACCTCTAAAAGTTAAGAACCATCAAAAGACCTGGAGTAGGGAGCTGATGATCAGATCGTTTAGGAAGACTACTCTTAGAGTAGCATGAAGGTTGGTTTGCCGAGGAACGCGCATAATAATAAGATCTACATGGCATTTATGGTTAATTATTCCAAAAAAAGTTTATTGAGTAACTGCTATATGCTTGGCACATAGTAAACATATTATTCTGTCTTTAAGGCCTCAGAGTTTCACAGCCTCCGCACTGACATTTTGGTTGGATAATGCCCAATTGGCGTTTGTTTTGGGGGCTGTCCGGTGCATTGAAGGATGTTGTGCAGCATCCCTGGCCTCTACTCACAGGCTAGCTGCTCATAGCAACCCCCTCCACCACCAGCTGTGACAACCCCAATTGTCTCTAGACATAGCCAGATGTCCCTGGTGAGGGGAGAGGGGGAGCAGAAATCACCCCCCAAGTGAGAACCGCTGATCCTAGGAGAAAGATGCAGATAAGTGATCAGGTAATTGCAACAAATGCCATAAATATTGAAACAACCCAGAGAAAGGGTTCCTTTACAGTGAATGAAGTTAGTACAAACTGTATCTTAGATGTGACCTGCACAAAGGCCTCCTGAGTCTCCAGCTTCTTTATCTTCTCATCCTTTCCTCTTTGCCAAATACCAATAGACATGGGTACCACGTCTTATGAGACACCTTGTTTCCCTTTGGGCCTGTTCTGTCCTGTATTTAGAATTGAATTGAAAGCTGGATACCAAAAGCTACGGTCAGTTACTCATGCATAACCCCAGAAATATCCCGTTTATGAAAACCACGCCTAACACCCTGAGGAGGGAAATTTTGGTTCTAGATGTAGACCAAAATTTGCTCAGAGTATTTGAAAAGATTTAATTCAGAATGTTGATTATAGTTTGTTCTTTCTGTAAAGAAATCTTTATTGTTAAAATTCCTTTTACAGTAATAGCTAGGATTCCTTTCTTACAATCTTACCCTTAAACCAAAAGTAAATATTGTTGTGTCCACTCTTTTCCTTTCAGCATGTCAACTCGATTATAGGGTTCCGGTGGAGATCAAACTCTTTTCGTTATACTCATGGGTTATTGGGGATTTGGGAACAAAAATGTTAGAGGATAAAATCCTTTAACCTCAGTTCTGTAGCTTGTGCTTGTTATTGTTTATGCACAGAAATCATGGAGGAACTTTACCCCTCGGGACATTAGCAACAACTGTTTCTGTTTAGTTCTATGAGAAGGCCCCTATTTGGGGTGAGGGAATAGCATTAGATCATAACATAAGCCCATTAAGAAATTTAAAACAATGCCATCCATCACACAGGCCTTGCTGTAAAACCTAAATTCTTACATGTGAGGTCTCCTTAGGGGAGAATCATTATTTCAAACCTCTTGGGGATTCTGGAGTGACAAAATTTAACCGTGGGTAGTTAATTGGATGAAGCTCTTCCCAGAAGTGTGTATATTTCTCACATGATGTACTCCATGGAGACCTTCAAATGCCTTTGGACTTAGTTCAGCAAATCAAACCACTACTTCTTGAAAGTAGGAGAATTTTGTGGTTAGACATCCTTATTTCATAGGGTTCTTGGGAGTTTACAATGAGAAAATATAAATGAAAGCTTTTTTTGTCAGCTGTAAAACACTACACAAATGTACAAATGTAAGGCGTCACCGCCATTATTTTATTGCTGTCAATGAGGCTGATAGGACCAAACTCCCAGGACAGTCTCTTGTGGGCATTTTGTAGCTGGCATGTTTTCTTTACACCGAACTTGATTTTCTTAAAATTACACAATTATTTTAATTTAATTCAATTTTAGTGGCTTTGATTCATCTGGTAGCATTCCTTCCCCCCTAGAGCTGGGCCATGATACCCCATGCTGCAAGAATGTGATCAACCCAGCTGAGATGGTTAATCCTGAGAATTTACAATCCTATCTAGCTTTTTTATTTTGATAAACATCAACTCAAACGCTGCTTGTTTGGGGTCAGTTTTTCACAAGTTCTTTTTGCTTCACTGTGGATTCCAACACAAAGTGGGTATTCCCTGTTTATTGAATGAAAGTGGAGATGAAAAGAGAGGCGCTAAACACTTACCACTTTTAAACTCTAAAGAGAAGGAGCAGCATCTGTACCAAGACTCAGCACACTTTTCTGTAAAGAATCAGATAGTGAATAGTTTCAGTTTGTGGCTATACAGTCCCTGCCTCCATCACTCAGTGCTGCTACTGCAGCATGAAAGCAGCCACTGACAATATGCAAATGAATGAACAAGGTTATGTTCAAATAAAACTTTATTCATGGAATAGATTTGCGGTTCATACAATTTTCACATTCATAAATGTCATAAAATATTACACTTGATTTTTTTTTTCAATCATTAAAAAATATATAATGTATTCTGAGTTCACAGGCCATACAAAAATACATGGTGGGCCATAATACGCTACCCACTGTCTGGTGTCCTCACAGCTGAGGGAGGATAGGGAGTCGCTTTTCAATCACTGCGTCCCTAGCTAAGCGCAGAGCAACACTCGCCAGTCATTTAGCCTGCAAGGCAGAATCCGGAATTCTGGTTCAGCCTCTGCCCTGATGCTTTCCAGCTGTGACCTTATGCTAGTCACATGATATCAGAGTCTCAGGCTGCTCATTTGTAAAATAGTGATAATTTTTTTTTCCTGCCTCCCTCACAGGGCTGCTGTGAACCTCAAATGAGATCATGGCTATGTAGCACTTTCTGAATATGAAAGTGTTATAGAAATGTTGAGGCATACAAGCGTTTTCATATAGCCTTATTTCAAGTTTCTTCTGTGGCCTCCACTTTCAAAAAGCACATCAACATTCTAATCATCTTTCACCAAACACTTCTGGCAGGACTGTTCTCTGCTGGGCTGAGCCCTGAGGATATACAGATGAGTAAGAACTAGATCCTGCCATCAGGAGGGAAAAAGAGAATTGCTGCGTGATGTGGTACATATGTAACAGATGGAATGAGCAGAGGTGGGAGAGACCAGCCCTGCTAGGATGCAGATGGGGCAGTGGGAGAGTCAGAGAAGGCCTCCCAGTGAAGCCGCCTACAAAGCAGGTCTGGGGGGAAGGGTACTTCAGGGATGGCCTGCAAAGTCTAATAACAGAGTAGCATGGAGAATTTGGGGAGCTTATATAACTGTGAGGAGCCCAGCATAGGTGACGGACCCCCTTAGGAAAGGAGGCTGGAGAGAGGCTGCCAGAGGAGGGAGACAGAACTTCGTGTGCCATGCTTAAGAGTTTGAATTTTTTCCTATAAAGGAAGAGGGGAATCATTGAACGATTTCATCAGGGCAGTAACATAACCACCTCTGGGCTCTGGAAGCATTACCTCTGGGGGGCACATATGGAGGGAGAAATATTTAGGCTGGGGGCAGTGGTGGAGACAAGGAGACCAGTTAGGAAAACTCTCTAATAATGCAGATGTGTGATGAAGAGGAGCTGAACTATAGGGCCATAGCATTAGGATAGAAGGGTAAAGATATTTAGAAAGCTTGTGTACAGTACATTGAAAGAAATTTTTGAAAGTGGAATAATACTAGGAATATACTGGAGAAGCATGGTATTAAAGGTATCGAATCCTTTTCTGAATAAGTATAAAGGTGTACACACACAAATTGTCAGCCTCAAATCCCTACATTTATGTGTTTGCCTTCAAGTTTTCTTCAAATTGGAGAGCCTGTACAATTGATAGAGTACGATCCTTAAAAATTCCAAGTAATCCATGTTAACAGCATTGGTATCTAAAGAGAATAATTGACAGAGTTTTTACAAAGTATTAACAAATAGAAAAGTGTCGGTCTCTATTGAGATTTTAATGACCTTTTGCTTAAAATTTGATTTCTCTGTGTAATGCATCATGATTTATGTTTTTGTTTCAGGAACAGGTCCAAGCATTCAGGAACCGAATCCAATTTCTCCACGTAAGTCTTTATGCAATTATTTCAAAATAGAGCCCCCTGGGCTTTTATAAGAATGAGTCATGAAGCATTTGCCAAACTTTGAGCTTTGATAAGGAAACATATGCTCTTACTCTCCCTCCCCCCTTTTTTTCTCATACTTTCTTTTTCCTTTCCTCTGTTCTTACTTCATTCGCCTCTGTACCTTTGCCACTTTTAATGTGAATTTGTTGACTCATTGGTGTGGATGGCCATAATGGAAAGGTAGTAACTTTCTTAGTTTTAGAGAGAGAGGTTTGTCATTTGCATACTTATATCGGTTGTAATCTGAAAGCATTAACCTACAGCTGTGGGAGAGGTTTGCTTTACCTGTCGTCAGGTATTATTACCGAAGCAGTGCTAAAGGAAAAAGTTGTATCTTCAAGACAGTCTCTAGCCCAAGGAGTGTTGGGGGGAGAGGGCTTGTAAGTAAAAAGAGATGCCAGCTACTACAAAAAGATACATTGGAAAGTATCTGGGCCAATTTCATCACTTTATATGGAAGAAAACTCTGATCCAGAAACATTTAAGTGACTTGCCCGTAGTTGTAATTGGCAATAAGGCAAGAATAGAACCTGGACTTTCTGGCCGTGCACCCAGAGCTCTTCTAAGTGATGCTGCCTTGTGAGGAGAATCTGCTTTTTTCTTCCCTAAAACTCTCCATATTAGTCTTCACGGCTGACCCAATCACATGCACATGACAATAAGTCTGGAGAATTCATTTATACAAAGCACTTTATAAACCATTCTATTAAGTGTATTATTTTAATAATATCATGGAACAATATCATATTAAATGTATTATTTTATATATTTATATATTTTATGTATATTATGTTATTTACATATTAAATGTATTGTTTTATATAGTAAGTGTATTATTTTAGTAACACCATGGAACCCAGAAAGAGACACATGGACACATTCTCTTATATTTTCCTAGTCTGATTTTCATAAATGACATCTTTTAGAATTTTAGAGTGTTTTCACTAAAAGCTTTTAACCATGCCCCACTTTTGGACCTGTAGGCGTAAAAAGGCAATTCATCTTTTAATATTGGTCCTGCAGACTAGATTAAATTAGATTAGGTCAATGGCTTGGTTCATCTTAACCTCCAGAGAGTTCTTTCCAGTTCTAACTTCTTCTAGGCGATCCCCAGCTCTTTTTTACAAACTGCTTTTCTTCACCTCCTGCCTTCAGCGGGTGAAGTAGTGCTAGCCCCATTTTTTGCAAGTTAAATGAGCACAGCAAAGGGCACAAAACTAGAAAAGTAGGAACCAGAACTTGGGAATTTGGATCCTTTCAGAATCTTCTCTACCATGACATACTTTTCCTGAGCCCTTTCAAGTGCTGTGGCTACTCAAGGGTCACATTTGTCTACAACTGGATCTTTTACATTGAAGTGAATTAAAAGGCAGAGATTTAATGTGTATAGAGATCAGCTGGAGTCGCTTCTGACTACAGAGGAACATAGAAACAATATTGAAATAATGGGGAGAGCCTATAACTTAAATTTATAGTATAAAAGCAGAGATCTTAGAAATCTTCATTCTACCAAAACCCCCTGTCCCTTGGAAACTGATTTTGACTTTTTATAAGTGATTCAAAGAAGGTAGTTCTCTTAAATGGAAAGGAAATGTTCTATTTCTGAGCCTGGAATTAGTTTCAAATATAAAAATCTTTGCCAAACAGAGAAACAATTGGTTCTATTTATATGTTTTGCTGACCATAAAACTCACATCACTCCCCACTGAGAAGTATTTCCGTTCCCCTCATAGAAAGATCACGGTTGGAAAAGTGTTAAAAAGTAGGTTGTATTAAATGACACAATATGTAGTTGTTAAGATTGAGGATTTACCATGAGGATATCAGTGAAATGTTATAATCCACAGGAATAGTTTATCCTTCCTCTGTTTTCTCCTTCTCACCCCTTCCTTCCTGTTTATCTTTCATACTTTCAAATGTTCATGAAAATATGTTTCTAAAGTATTTGAAGTGTGTTTTCTGTGTAGTGTCTTATTGGAGAGTTCAAGGAATAAGAAGCAATGACTCAGATTTTGATAACGGAAGTTCAACTTATTTTCCAAAGCAACTTAGCCACTGAATTTTCAGGCCTCTTTACCATTCAAGTAGTAGGTCCTCAGACTAAGACACTGAACCACAGACTTAAGGTTTTACAGTTTACAACGCTGATTTTTTAGTAAATTTGTTGCTCAAAATATTGCAAACTAAGGATATCTTGGAAATCTGATAATTTTATTTTTCTTTTAAGAGAAAATTTGCAAGTTACAAATACACAGTATATTTGGTTAGAATTCTCTTTTTATCCTCAGACTTTGTCAGTGCTCAGCCTTTCTGAAAGTGCTTGTGAAACAAATATAAAATTACACCATATGATGCAGACTCACTTAAAGTGTGTATTGGTTTCCCTTCCTTATAGCAATTTTCCATGGTTTGGACACCCTCACTGTGATGGGCATTGCATTTGCAGCATTTGTGATCGGAGCACTCCTAACGGGGGCCTTGTGGTACATCTATTCTCACACAGGTTAGTATGACCGTTCAATAGTAGTCGGTACACAGTCTGTGTGCCTGCCACACAGCAGATGTTCAGTGTTTTGTTGCATGGATGAATGGAAGAAATAATGAATGAAAGAGAAAGTTCATTCCCACAATTTTCACATTTACGGATTTGACATAAATTGGGGCTTGCAAAAATATAATTTGCTTTACTTTAAGCAGTTTTAAGAAGGGGATGTGTAAACTATTTATGTTAATTGCAGTTGAGATGTCGGTGAAGTTTAGCTTCTAATAAAGCTATTTTGTGGTTTGAGTTTGATTAAAGAAAGGTAAGGTAGACAAACTGGAAATGTAAACCATTCCCCCAGAGCTCAAGACTTCAGAATAGATATATAAATGGGCAGGAAGTGAAAAGGGGAGCCAAGATTTCAATACCACATCTGCCACAGTGCCAAACACTGTCCACCAGAGTCCCTCATCAACGGCTTAAACCAAAATTTTTTGACCTTTTAAAAATCCATATGTCCTCATTGATAAACATGAAATTCTCACATCTTTCTGTAGCATTATTTAAGTTTTTAAAATACATTTCCATGAATTATAAACAAAAACAGTGAAACAAAGCATTTTGTTTTAAACTTGCTCCTCCACCCCCCCAAAATTCTAATGCCCTTCCTCCTCCCCCTTCCCGCCAATCCCAAGGTTGAAACATTCTGGCCTAAAGAGAGAACCCTTTCTGACCCCAATACAGATGTCAGCCCAGCAAGGGGAGCCTGTAGTGCAGCGGGGAAGGAACACAATGGGCTTCCCTTCTGTTGCTTGGTTCTTAGGCTCCTTGTAAAAACATGGGAAGGAAAGACATGCACTTTGAGGCATGTCTAGTGAGCTAGCTCGTATTGTTTGTTCTTGGAGACTTGTAGTTTATAAAGCAGGTCCTCAAGTAGTATTGTTTGGGTCAGCTCATTTCATTATAATGTTGATAAGATGCAGTAGTAATGCGGTAGGAACTTAACTCTTGTTTATATCAATGAGCTTACGGTAAAATTGTTTTCATTATATGTAGTTTTGCTTGAAGTCGCAGAACCTATAGATGACATTAAGTGAGGACTCAGCTGTACTGTGAACCGAGGCAAACTGTGCTGGACTGATCAGTCAGAGGCCAGTGGCAGGCCCAACCTTTCTGTTTAGAATTTCATTAATTCTCGATTGAATCAACGAATGCCCCAATCTTTGGCCTTACCGTGGGCCTCCCAACTAGCCAAGCTGAAAGGATGCCTAGTGTAAAGGGAAGAGAAGCACTGAAGGGCATTTTGAGAAGTCATATCTTAATCCTCATCAGAATCTTCACTTCAAATACTGCATCCTCCAACTGAGTTCTTTTAGATTATGGCAGAAGGAAAGAAAGGAACCCTTTGGTGCGTAGCACAGGAAAGTCACACAATCCAAAGCAAACGTGTAGGAGGGTTTAATAGTGGGACTTGGAGTCCTTAATTTATTTTTCCTCATCAGCAACCTTGGAGTGAAGTGTATTTCATGTGTGAGAGAGAAAATAAGACTCTTAAGTGTAATAATTCTGAGGATATACAAGTGTCTGTGAACCAATTTAGGACTATTCTTCCTCGAACAGTTTATACAAGCACCAGACGGGGTAGCTTTCAGCAGAGTAGCATTTCAGAGTAAATAATTTTGTCACAGGAATACTGACATGTTCAGATCTCAAGTTAACAGTTCTTTGCAGCTTTTCCCAACCTCCTGCACGGCTATGGGGTTCTAGGGCTATTGGTAGCTTATGCTGTATATTGGGAATGAACTTGAAAGTACTCCAAGAGGAGGACTCTAGCCTAGAGGATTTTCTGTGGGCTAGTCACCCGCAGACACTTCACATATGCCTACTGAACCATGACTGGCTTTGGTCATAGAGCTACACCCTCAAACCCTGAAAGCTAATCTCAGGCCAGGTAGGACCAGGAATCCAGGGCCAAGTGGATTAAGGCAACCAAATGACACTCACTGTTGGAACACACTCCACTGAACTCCCTCTGATAATCGCAGACTTGTGTCCACAGCCACGCTCACAAACCTGATAAAAAGCCAAGCCTGGGTTTATGGCGTATATTGTCGCTCATTAAATTCCGAAGTTTGTCATGACTGCTGTGTTGTCTCCCAAGCCAGAGACTTAAGGAGGAATTTTTAAGTTTTGTTAATATAGAAATGGGTTTCTAAGTAGACTGAAGAAAAACAAAACCAACAATCCTTCCTATGATGGTTTCCAGCAAAACAAATTATGCTGATTTGGAAGCTAAAAGGTTTACAGATATTGTCATTTGGGCTCTAAACCTGTTAGCACCATATATGATACAGCTTCAAAATGACTTTTTACTAAAATCGGTAAGCTCTGCTTCATTTTAAAGGCCGCTCACAAGGAATACCATAAGTGTCATATAAGTGTGAAAAAGGCTCATTTCAGGACCCGATGTTAGTTTCCTGTCCAGAATCCCCTCGGATTCATTCCTGGGTCAGCTCGCAGCAAGTTTAAATACAAGAAAATCATAATGCAGCGGCCAATGAGGAGAGGTGTGTACACAAACACTGACTCAGTCCATTCAATTTCCACAATAATCTAAGCTGTGGAACTCAGACCATATTTGAGGGTTCAGGCAACATTTGCCTCTATGTTGAAAACAATTCTTAATTTGGATGACTTCCCTTTGATTAGCTGTCCATTCCATCTGCAGCACAGAGCACAAAACCAAGTCACATGTTTGAATTGTGGATTTCTACTTATGTACCTGGAATGTGTATTAGTGTCAAAAAGCTGTGTCCCCACTTTATCATATGACAGCGTTGGGCACAATAAGGGATGCTGCCTTAAGGCGATATTAACTCTATTTGGAAAACTCCATTCCTAAAACTGACATTCTCCACTAATGAGGGGCAGTCAGGTGGAAATGGAACAATAGAATCTTCATGCTCCTGGGAGCCTAGCTAGTTCAGGTGTCTCTAACCACTAGTCCATGAAGGTCCCAAAAGTCATATGCAAAATTATATGTTATTTATTTATTTAATTTTTTTAGGAGAGAGGCAAAAGCATTTATTTTTATGTTTTGGCAAGACCTTTAGCTTTATCACAGTAGTATATACACATAGTTTAAAGGCAGAAATAGTTCTACAAGACTTTATGAAAAATGAAAAATATGAGTCCCCCCTGCTGCCCGCTCCCTTTTTTTGCTTTTCAGAGTACTAATTTTTAATTTCAGCTGGTTCTTTTGGACATGAATCCATATTCTGAGTAACATGAGTAAATTTCTACTTATCAGTTTTAGGCCTTTTCGATTGACCTCTTACTATGGAAAATGGGAATTTAGTTCTCTCTCACCTCTGTGCCCCAACCATGCATTCATGCCCGTCTTTTTTTTTTTATTTAAGATTTTTATTGGGGAATTGGGGAATGGGAACAGTGCTAGGGAATTGGGGGAAGGAGAACAGACAAGTTGCTGTCGTTTTGTTCTTCAGTCTAGTTGTGGAGGACGTTGCTTCACTGGCCCAAGTTGGCACCATCATTGCACTCTTCCCGGGTGAGGTAGATCAGTCGCCGGCTTCTGGACAGCCGCTCACACTGGCTGCTGGCTACACACGGTAGCCCACGGCAACCCACTGCCACGGGCTGCAGCCTACGCCATCGCCGGCGACTCACGGCAGCCCAGCTCCAGGTTGAGCTGTTGTTCAGCATCTTAGCTGTGGAGGGCAGTGTCACTGGCCCTCATATGTGGGATCCGAACCAGGGCCCTTTGGCATCCCAAGCCAGTTCTTAACCATCGCGCCACTCGGCTGGTCCCATTCATGCCCTTCTTGTCCTCCTACCTCCACCATCTTCCTAATAGAATAACAGTGAAATTTTGGTTAGATCAGCATTTACTGTTTACATTATTATGACTACCTAAATGCTAATCACAATTTAGCCATGTAATTAGTATAATATTGTTTCTCCTGCATGACTTTTAATTTTCCCTAGAAGTAATAATTGTTTCTTCCCCCCGCCCCCACATTACCTTGGTTTTCTACATACTTATCACTAACTCACCTGTTGCCTCTCAGCCAGTTGTCTCAGTCTCCTTTTAACACAGTTTAGACGTCAGGTCTTCTGCTGATTCATTTTCTTCAACAAATCTTTCCTGGAGCCCTCTGACCTGCTCCTGTCTGAACTGGTTGTCCTCTAAGTTTGGACACTGCTGTCGTCCTATATGCTTTCATCACTGTTCTGGGGATTCCCTGCACTTTTGAGTTTAGGATGTCCTGTGTCACGTACCCCATGTCTTCCTCCTCCTTGGTTTAAAGGGTATGTAAGAGGGAAATGTTTTTCACCCCTTGCACGTCTGAAAATATCCTAATTTTATACAAACACGTGGTAGATAGTTTGGTAAGGTATAGAATTTTAGATTATATATAATTTTCCTTCAGAATTTTGAAAGCACTCATTGACTTTTTAGCTCTGAAGATTGCTTTTGGGAAATTCAAAACCATTCAGATCCCTGACCTATTTATTCTTTCTGGAAGAAATTTTATAATTATAGTCCTTGATTTAAGTATATTTTCATACATTATGCTGGGCATTAGTGGAGCCCTTTCAGTCTAGAAACATGTCCTTCAGCACTGAGATTTTTTTTTTTAGAATATCGTTTTTTTCTCACCCCTATTTTCTCTGTTCTCTCATTCTAGAAATCATATTATTTGAAAGTTGAACCTCTTGAATTGTCCTCTAATTTTCTTTTCTTTCCTGTTTTCTGTCTTTTTCCTTTCTTTGTTTATTCTCTAGATCTTTTCATCTTTATCGTTTATTTTTCCTATTGAGTTTTTAATACTGCCTTAAAATTTTTTAATTCCAAGAAATTTTTTCCTATGAATTAAAAAAATATATTTTATTCTTATCTCATGGGTGGAATATCGTATCTCTCTGAGAATATTAATATAGGATTGTTTAAGAATAAGGAAGTTCTGAGCTTGTATGTGGGACATGCTGATTGGGAACTT